TGGCAAAGGTCTATATAGTCAAAGCTATGGTTTTCCTGGTAGTGAGAGTTGAACCACAAAGAAGGCTAAACGCTGAAAAATTGATGCTTTTGAATTTGGTGCTGGAGAAGACTCTGAGAGTCCCTTGGACTGCAAGAAGATCAAACCAGTCAATCCTAAGGGAAATGAACCATGAATATTCATTGGAAAGAATGATGGTGAAGTGAAGCTCCAACATTTTGGCCACCAGATTCGAAGAGCTCACTCATGGGAAAAGACCCTGATGCTTGGGAAGACTAAAAGCAAAAGGATAATGGGGTGCAGAGAGTGAGATGGTTAGATAGCATCACTGACTCAATGAACATGAATTTGAGCAAACTCCAGGAGATAGTGAAGGGTAGGAGATCCTGGCATGCTGCAGTCATGGGGTCGCAGAGTCAGATGTGACTTAGTGACTGAACCACAAACTTGATGGCTTCAAACAAAGCAAATATATTATCTTACAGTTTGGGAGGTCAGAAATCTGAAATGGGTCTCAACGGGCTAAAATCAAAGAATGCTAACAGGGCTGCATTTCTTTCTGTAGGCTCTGAAGGAGAATCTGTTTCTCTGCCTTGGCTAGATTCTAGAGGCCACCGCCATTGCTTGGCTGACAACCCTCTTCCATCTTCAAAGCCAGTGATGGTTTATCAAATCTTTCTGATTCTGCATCAATCTGACACTGAGTCTCCTGTCTCCCTTTGTGATCTTTGTGATTATGTACATGGAGCGCATCAGATAATCCAGAACGCAGATGCAAATGCTAAATTGCTCAGTCCTGATTTTTTAGCGACCAGGCTCCTCTATCCATGGGATTCTCTGGGAAGAGTATTGGAGTGGGTCCAGGGGATCTTCCCTACCAGGGGGATTGATCCCTCATCTCTTATGACGCCTGCACTGACAGGCAGGGTCTTTACTACTATTGCTACCTGAGAAGCTCAGTCCAGAATGATCTCTCCTCAAAACTATTAATTTAATCATATATGTGAATTACCTTTTGTCTGCCATGTAAGGTAACATAATGAGAAGTTTTAAGAATTAGGACATGGGCATGCAGAGGCATTATTCTGTCTACCACATTCCCTTAGTTCGGCTTCTCCCTAGAGGTTTTGGATTTATCGGTGAAGCCTGTAGAAATTGCTTCTGTTTATTAATAGGTACACAGTGTGAGAAACCGCAGTCTCTAAAGTCATAGATGATCAGACTTTGCTAGTTGTAATCATATCAGTGAAAATAGAACGTCCTACTCTTGCTGGAAGGATCTCAACCAAGGCACGGAATGTGTGTGTGTGTGTCTGTGTGTCTGTGAGACTCGTAGCCTCTTGGCAACCCACGATTGGTAGCCCGCTAGGCTCCAGAGACACGGCCTCTAATTCCAACCCAGATGTAGAGCTCAGTTAAGGAGGTTTCAGATAGAACGTTCTGTGTTCACACTAACACAGTTTCCAAGGAAACAGGACTTCAAGTCCCTTCTCAGCAAGAGCCTGACATTAATACCTTTCATACAGCTGGGCTTTGCTCTGAGCTTCGAAAGAACCGGTCCTGTTAAATTTGACCTGCATTGCCTCATCCCCTCTCCCACCGGTGGTTCCTGGGTTTAGGAATCAGGAAACTCCGAAACGCTTTTCTGAGGCCGCTTTTTCCCCTGCTGTGGGGCCAACGGTGGGTAATGGATGGTACAAACGGCAAGATCTAAGTGGGGTGGGGGCGGATGTTACAGTAAATCAGGGAGCGGGGAGGAGCAGATTCCAGCCTGGAGCCCCGTTATGCAAGGGGAAGACAGTCTTAAAGGCCAACTTCCACTGTCACCCCTGGACCGAGAGCAGCATGTCCTCAGTTCTCACAAGCACCCCATAAGCGCGGGTCATTATTCCTCCATTTAACAGAGGAGAAGACAGGAGCCTAAGCAACAAGCTTTGCGTGCACGCCGTGCGTGCTAAGTCCCAAAAGTGGTGTTCGGCTCTGCGAACGTAACCCACCAGGCTCCTCTGTCCATGAGATTCTCCAGGTAAGAATATTGGAGGGGGTGGTGCCCTCCTCCAGGGGATCTTCCCGACTCAGGGATCGAAGCAGCCTCTCTTATGTCTCCTGCTTTGGCGGCGGGATTCTTTACCACTAGTGCCACCTGGAAAGCACAAGCAACATGCCTCGTGGCATCAAATCAGGAACTGGCGCACAGGGGTCCCAACTCGGTTCTTCGGACACCAAAGTCAGCGCTCAGGAACCGCGGGCCTTTCCAAGTAAATGTCCGGAAGAGGGGCGCCGCCCTGCATCCGCCTCAACAGACTGACGACCACCACAGCTCTGCTGCCCCTTCAGGCGGGGAGAGATCGCCAGTCTCCGAGGGTAAGACACCAGGCGGCCATAGAAATCACGTCTACCATGGGGACCAATCCGAGGAAGCGAAAAAGCAGCGGGGCGGGTTTATGCAAAGTACATAGGGAGTTAGCCGGAAGGAGAAGCAGTAAACGACACAATTTGAGGTCTATTTCCAAATTTTAGTTATTATCATGAATCATAAATGATGAAAAATTGGCTTTAAGCAAGACTGCACTTTGAGAAGGCTCTAATGATTAGGCCATAAAAGTCGCCACAATTGTGAAAGCTACACTAAGAGTAAGGCTGGCCCGGAGAGAAGCTTGTAGTTATCGCTTCTCGGCCTTTTGGCTAAGATCAAGTGTAGTATCTGTTCTTATCAGTTTAATATCTGATACGTTCTCTATCCGAGGACAATATATTAAATGGATTTTTGGGATTAGGAGTTGGAATAGGAGCTTGCTCCGTCCACTCCACGCATCGACCTGGTATTGCAGTACTTCCAGGAACGGTGCACCCCCTTCGGGGGAATAAAACATTGTTTCAAAAAAAAAGACTTGATATGATCTCGATGTAACTGAAGTACTTCACAGTTAACCTGATTCAGCAATTATTCTACTAACTTAAAAATTTTTGCAGCAGCAATTGTGGGTTTCACGGAAATTTTTTTCAAAGATTAAGGGGTAAACTATCTTTCATCTTATGTTTTTTTAGCGAATTACATATAATAGGTAGCAGAGTTACACACTCCGTTGGATTTTAACGCTGTGTTGGTTTCTACTGTGTACTTTTTGTCCAGACACAGAAACAGAGAAGAATGAAGTGAGTTTGAGTTTCTTTAAAAGTTGGCAAGTACTGCTTGGGTCGAAACCGGTGGATCACGAACGACATGTTTAAGGTGTTTTTTTTTTCAGTGTTTCAGACACTTTGCTAACTCAACAGTAGTTTATACTTTCTGTAACTTTGTAATTTACTTGAACACTCTGTAAGGATTCTCGTACATGTAACATAATGGTAGTAGTTTGGGTAGTTGTGACGCGATTTTACAGGTATTCGGGGCTTTCTAAGAGGTTCAACAAGAGTAAGTCCCTGCCAACCAAAAAACATAGGATCGATTCCGCGAGGCGCGGAAGATCACCTGGAGGAGAATAGTTTACCATTCCAGTATTCCTGCCTGGAGAATCTCATGAACAGAGACGCCTGGCGGAGTTATGGGGTCGCAAAGATTTAGACGCGATTGAGTAACTCGTACTTTTCATTTTCACTGGTATTCCTGCCTGAAGAATCGCTTTGGCAGACGAGCCTGGCTGGGTTTAAGTCCACAGAGTCGCCAAAGCCATCGGGTCCGACTTAACAACTAAATAGCTACAATTTTAAGAATGGTGACGTGCACGTAATTAGAGAAGTTATTTGCCGTAGGGAAGATATTGAGTAGTGCTTAGTAGTTTTCTTTATAACGGGTAAGTTTCCTGGTCTAGTTCCCTCATTTTGAAAAAACTCTGGGTGTGCACCTGGCCTTACAGTGAGGAAGACTTCCGAGCAGAGAAATAGTTAAACTTCTCATAAAGGGAAATCATAGTATTTCAGGGAAAGAGACCGTTCAGATTTACTTTGGGGCGGGGGGGGGGGGCCCGTAGTGGTGGTTGTGGTGTTTCCGTGGCCTAACCCTGCGGCTTGCCTGGAATTTTAAGCTCTGAAATTTATCGGCAGTTCTCCAACTAAGGTGGCAATCAAGACTGTTTCTCTGTGGAGGACAGATCTGCCAGGCAAGTGTGGGATGCTTTATTCTTACTGATACAGCAAAATTTCTGATAAGACATTTCAGACAAGTCATTCTAAGAACGGGGCCGTTATGAGATTTTAAAGTTCGAGCTTATCTTTGGAAGAACTGTTTCTTTTAATTTTGTAGATCTTCATTGCCCATGGTGTCATTTTATACCATCAACAAATCTCAACGTGAGGAAATAAAAATAACGCCCCTACGGTCACTTTCCAAAACCGAGCTCGTCGGTTTCATTTCCCCCAACTTTGTTCACTTTGTCCTATTACGCTTAAAGTTGAAGCCATGCGCCTCATTAGTGATTTGAATCGTTCCTGAAATAAGCTCTTTTCTTCTCTTATACAGAAAATGTACATTGCGCTCGGGCCTGGCGCACTGGGAAGACCCAGAGGGATCGGGTGAAGAGGGAGGTGGGAGGGGGGACCGGGATGGGGAATACGTGTAAGTCCATGGCTAATTCATTTCAATGTATGACAAAAACCACTGCAATGATGTAAAGTAATTAGCCTCCAACTAATAAAAATAAATGAAAAAAAAAAGTCATTCAAAAAAAAATAAAAAATAAAAATAAATTAAATGAAAAAAAAAAAAAAAAGAAAATGTACATTGCTTTAGAGCAGAGAAACAGACTAGGGCTGCCTGGATCCGATATTGTGGTTCAGATCGTATGCCTTTTACTCCAAATGTAAAATGGTCAAGTTACTGTTCAGATCTCCACAAACAAGTCTCCAGATTTCATTTTTGTAAAAAGCAAAACCAGCTGGCGGGGAGAGTATTTTTTACTCTTCCGGTTCTTTAAAAGGAGTTCCTCCGTATCCGACTAGGCGCACGCTGGAGACGCAGGCGCTGCGCCGGAAGTGTGAACCTTGGGCTCCCGAGCTCCGCTATGGCGGCTGCGGCTGCACGCTGGAACCATGTGTGGGTTGGCACCGACACTGGCATCCTGAAAGGTGGGTAGCGGAGTCGGGCGTCGGGAACTGCGGGCGTCACCGTTTCGCGACTCTGATGCGATTGACGTCCGTGTCCCGCAGGAGTGAACCTTCAGCGCAAACAGGCAGCGAACTTCACGGCGTCAGGACAGCCGCGGCGCGAAGAGGCGGTGAGCGCCCTGTGTTGGGGTGCGGGCGGCGAGACACAGGTGAGCGACCGCTGACAGAGCTGGGAGTCTGGGGCGCGGCCGCCTCGCTCTCCTCGCCATCCTGTGCTCCTCTGCCTGCAGATCCTGGTGGGCTGTGCCGATGGGACAGTGAAGCACTTCAGCACCGAAGAAGGCAGGTTCCAGGGCCAGAGGCAGTGTCCTGGAGGGGAGGGCACGTTCCGAGGCCTCGCCCAGGTCGACGGGTAAGACCAAGCCCCTTGCAGAAACGTTCAAGTCGTAGCGAGAGTGTTGAGGCTCCCGCTGGACGACCGAGTGATGGCGATCAACCCTGAGGTGATGTGAGCCTGGTCTGCGTGACAGGGACCTTTTTCCTGCCTTCATCCGTTCATTCCTATAACAAACATTTATGAAACACTTACTTGGTTGTTTGTAGGCACTGGGCGAAATGCAAAGGCTTAGGTAAACCAGACACAGTATCTGCCATCATAGAGTTTGCTTTTTCCAGAGTTTTGTTTTTTTTGTTTTTGTTTTTGAATAATAACCTTTTGGATGACCCTGAGCACATTATTTAGTAGTTTGAAAGTGAAAGAGTTAGTCGCTCAGTCGTATCCGACTCTTTGCAACCCTATGGACAGTAGCCCGCCGGACTCCTCTGTCCGGGATTTTCCAGGCAAGAATACTGGAGCGATTCGCCAGCAGATCGTCCCAAGTCTCCTGCACTGCAGGCGGTCTCCTGCATCGCAGGAGATTCTTTACCAACTGAGCCACTAGGGAAGTTTAGAATATGTTTTTAAATGGGGGCTAACAACCACCAACAAAGTGGTAAAGCTCCTAAAGTAAAGAATAGGAAATGCTGGGTTGCAGGCTTAGTTTTCTTCTGAAGGTGGAGAGAGAGGCTATGAGCTGACTGTGTAGGTTTGGTGACGTTGATTTTGACAGGTGAGTCTGGAAGGCTGGATCCAGCGAGAGGGGGTGGAGGAATATTTGAACTTGGCCTTGAAGGTTGGGTAGAATTTTGACAGGTGGGGAAAGGAGTAAGGCATTTTAGAAGGAGGCTTCTGCCTGAGCAGAGGCCAAAGATTGGTGTGAGGCTACAGGGCACATCACAGGGAAGATAAACAGCATTTGGGGGTTGAAGAGAAGACTCTTGTGTCTCTTGGACTGCAAGGAGATCAAACCAATCAGTCTTAAGGGAAATCAGTCCTGAATATGCATTGGAAGGAGTGATGCTGAAGCTCCAATACTTTGGCCACCTGATACAAAGAACTGCTGGAAAAGATTGAAGGCAGGAAGAGAAGAGAATGACAGAGGATGAGATGGTTGGATGTCATCACCAATTCGATGAACAGGAGTTTGGGCAAGCTCCAGGAGCTGGTGATGGTCAGGGAAACCTGGCATACTGCAGTCCACAGGGTCGCAAAGAGTCGGACACAACTGAGCAACTGAACTGAACTGGGGGTTGAAGCCCAGGAGACTTTTTTTTTCCCTTTTTAAAAACTTATGAGGAAGAATTTTAATATGAGATAGACGAGTTAAGTTGGGATTTAAGGTAAAGTGCTTTAAGTGTCAGGCTGAGCAATCTGCAGTTTCATAGGTAGTGAGGCATGATTGGTTTCTTAGCAGGAAACACTGTGGTCAGAGCTGTGAGCCTGCAGGAATGTGGAGATGGATTGGAGATGGGGCAGTTGGCAGACTGTTGCCACAGCCCAGGAAAACCCAGAGGCTGAACCCAGTTGGGGAGAGTGGGCAAATATGAGAAAGAGCAGAGGGCTTAGGCTATACAGATCCTGGTGAGCGATTGGCTTGTCTGGTCTGACGCCCAGAACAGGGAACTTAAGAGAGGAAGCTGGTGTTTGATTCTGACCAAACACTAAATCCAGAGCAGTCCCATTTCAGTGCTTTTAGAGCTCTTTCTCCTGACTCCTGGTGAGCACATTAAGAAAGATCAGCAGGGCCAGGTGCCCCAGGCGGAGCTGTGGAATAGCAAAGACTCTGCTTGGCAGTATCACAGTCTTGATTGCAGCTCTGATTCTGACATTTATAACTAAGTGGCAGATCTTTTAATTTTTTGTAGCTTCAGTTTCCTTACTTATAAGACTGGTAAACCATTACCTTGACAAGGAAATTAAATAACAGCCATCAAGCCCTGCCCAGACCTGAGTTACCTAGAGGCTTCCTTAGGAACAGGGCTGGTAGGAGGGAGTCTAGTTCATATGAATTTGGGGGTGGGTCGACTGGGGACAGAGAACACCATTTACCCCTGCTCTTTTAACTCTATCCTCCCTTTGCCTGCAGCACCCTCATCACATGTGTGGATTCTGGGATTCTTCGAGTCTGGCATGACAAGGACAAGGAGGCATCCTCTGACCCAGTGAGCCCCCCGCCCCCCATCCTGATCCTGATGGTTGGGGAAGGTGGGGCCCAGGGTAGAGCCAATGAAGGCTTTGGGGGAGGAGGATTAAGGATCTGGAAGTGACTCATCTCCCCTCTCATTCTTTTCAGCTCCTGGAACTGAGGGTGGGCCCTGGGGTATGTAGGATGCGCCAAGACCCAGCACGCCCCCACATCGTTGCCACTGGTGGGAAGGAGAATGCTCTGAAGGTGTGGGACCTGCAGGGATCTGAGGAGCCTTTGTTCAGGGCCAAGAACGTGAGTGATGGTGGGTGGAGAGGACCTGGGTCCCAATTCCCAGGAGTCAAGGCCACTGATGATGAATTGGAGACCGGCTGGGTTTTAGGGGATGATGATAGAAGGCAGAAGGAAGGGACACACTGAGCCCCTCCCAGCTCTGTTCCTCATCTACTGACCCTACCAGGTACGGAATGATTGGCTCGACCTGCGGGTTCCCATTTGGGACCAGGACATACAGTTCCTCCCAGAGTCACAGAGGCTCGTCACCTGTACAGGGTACCACCAGGTGAGGCACACATCTCACCCCTATCTTTTTCTGGGCTCACATAGCTTCCTGGAGAAACAGGAAGCTTGCTCTTTGCAGGCGTGGTACCCACCATTTGGCACAGCCACTCTTCTCGCCATCCTTCTGTCATCCCTGAGCTCCTAGAAGAAGGACCATTTCCCCCATCTGTTCCAGTCGAGTGGCTAAGCCAGTGACCTTCACTTACTACATTCTAGGAAGGAGTTGCCTGAACTGTGATTCTTCCTTTTCCTCCCACCTGGAAGAGAGAAGGGAGTGTCCCCTTCATAGTAGAATCACATGGGGCCCGTGTTATGAGAAGACATGGACTGGGTATCAAAAGAACTGGGTTCTGGTCCTGATGGCAGCCTCTTATTTGCTTTGGGACCCAAGCATGACCCTCTAGTAATATTATCTGTAATATCTAGTCTCCACTCCTCAGCTGTATAGGAAAAGCCCAACTGGGGATCTTTTCAGCTGGGGTTTTTTTTTTTTTGACCGCGCTGCATGGCAGTCATACCTCCCTGATCAGGGATCGAATCCGAAGTGGAAGCTCGGAGTCCTAACCATTGGACCACCAGGGAATTTGAAATCCTAAGACCTAGGCAGGACTGGGTGGGGCTACATTTGCCCTGCATCCTCTGCTTTGCATCTGAGGTCTGCTGTTGGTAATACAGTTCTGCTCAGAAAACATATGAGGGCTTCCTCTCTCCTTTGTGTCCAGGCTTAACTTCCTTCTCTGTTTGAGTTCAGCAACTCTGACAATTGGGCCAGCTTGCTTGCATCATGAGAGGGGAGTATAGATGGAACGCTATACACACATGCAGACCATGGGGATGCTGCTGCTCCTAGCCTTGGGAACCTCTGTTCTCAGCTTTATACATTCATGTTCCTCAGCAGCTCTCCTCTACTCCTCAACACTCAGAAAAGAAGGGTGTATTTCAAATGAGAAAGTTTCTCTGAAAGAGTGGATTGTAAAAGCAGTGTATGGGGTAGGGGGGCTTCCCTGGTGGCTCCATGGTAAAGAATCTGCCTGCCAACGCAGGAGGCTTGGGTTCAATTCCTGGGTTGGGAAGATCCCCTGAAGGAGGAAATGGCAACCCACTCCAGTATTCTTGCCTGGGAGATCCCATGGACAGAGAAACCTGGTGGGCTACAGTCCATGGGGTCACAGAAGAGTTGGAAACAACTTAGCGACTAAACAACAGATGAGGGGAAGTGAAGATGCAGAGGAGCCAGAGGGGCTACGCAGAGTAAAGGTACTATTGTGATGCCTCAGTCTTCTTCCAGGTCCGTGTCTATGATCCAGCCTCCCCTCAGCGCAGGCCAGTCCTTGAGGCCACCTACGGAGAGTACCCACTGACAGCCATGACCCTCACTCCTGAGGGCAAGTGAGTGTGTAGCGGGCACAGTGGGGCCTGGGGAGGACTCCAGGGGGCTCCTGCTGACCGACCCATGTATGTCTGTCTGGTCTCCTCCTCAGTTCAGTGATTGTGGGGAATACTCATGGGCAGCTGGCAGAAATTGACCTTCGACAAGGTGAGTAGACCAGGGAGCCTTGCAGGGGGGCAGGAGTGGGGAGGAAGGGCAGGATTCCCCTCTGACAAGGGGCGGTGGGGCTGCTGAGCCCTCCTTCAGGTCCCAGAACCAGGTTCAGTCCCGGTTCTGCCAAAAGCTGTGTGACCTCGGACAGATTACTCTGTCAGTTCCCTATGCCTTAGTTTCTTCACCTGAAAAATGGAGATGTTAATGGTAACTGCCGTGTTAGCATTATGTTAAACGAGGATTAAATGTTGAAAGAAAGTGATTTGAACAGAAAACACTCAATAAATGATTGTTGGCTGACCAGTTAGCACTGATACCTGCCCCCTTTTCCCAGGGCGCCTGCTGGGCTGTCTAAAGGGACTGGCGGGCAGCGTCCGAGGGTTGCAGTGCCACCCTTCAAAGCCCCTACTAGCCTCCTGTGGTTTGGACAGAGTCTTGAGGATACACAGGATCCGGAATCCACGGGGCCTGGAGCATAAGGTGAGAAACCACTCATTCCTGCTCGTTGTGCCCTCCTCCCTCCCCCACTCTTGCTTCTGTTTCAGCAGACCTGGCCTCTTAAGGTCCCTCATCTCTTGCAGGTTTATCTCAAATCTCAATTGAACTGCCTTCTCCTGTCAGGCAGGGATAACTGGGAGGTAAGCCCTTGGGTCTGGGAATGTGGGAGCTAAGGGTACAGGTGTGAGGATCTCTCTGTGAAGAGGAAAGGGAAGCAGCTGGAACTTAGACCTGAGACTGTCCACCCACTTGCCAGGTATAGTCCTGACAGGGTCATTGCCAAGGGTAACACAGGAGCATGGATGAAGTGAAGTGAAGTCACTCAGTCATGTGCGACTCCTTGTGACCCCATGGACTGTAGCCCACCAGGCTCCTCTGTCCATGGAATTCTCAAGGCCAGAATACTGGAGTGGGTAGCCATTCCCTTCTCCAGGGGATCTTCCTGACCCAGGGATGGAACCCAGGTCTCCCACACTGCAGGCAGATTCTTTCCCAGCTGAGCCACCAGGGAAGCCCAGGAGCATGGATGGGCATGGTATTTCGGAGCAGGAGACAAGGGGTGGTGCCTGGAGGAGCGATTCTCCTCCATGTGGGTTTGTTACCTGACTCCTGAGGGCTTCTACTCAGCAGGATGAACCGCAAGAGCCTCAGGAGCCCAACAAGGTGCCCTCAGAAGACACAGAGACAGATGAACTGTGGGCCTCCTTGGAGGCAGCTGCCAAGCGGAAGCTCCCCAATTGGGAGCAGACCCAAGGCGCTCTCCAAGCCAGACGGAGAAAGAAGAAACGGCCTGGGTCCACCAGCTCCTGAAGAGCTTGTGCTCACTTTGTAAATAAACACCTTAAAAACGTACCATGACTTTGCCTTTTGTGATGGGAGAGTGGTGGCGGCTCCCTGAGCTGGGGTGGTGGGGGTATCTGACGTCACAAAAGCAGGGCCCGGAACCTGGCGGCTGGTGCGGGTGGCACCGAGTGCAGGGCCGCATGTGGGGCCATGGGCTGCTGCCAAGACAAGGACTTTCAGATTTCGGATGAGCAGGCCAAGGAGGCCGGGTCAGAAGGTGGGACCAGAAACACACCGGGGTGCCCAGGGAGCTGGGAGTGGGGACTGGACCACCCGGAGGTTGGACTGGGGAAAGTAGAACTCAGCGGCCTCGCATCCTCGCAGGCACTGATGCGGACTCGGGGGAGCAACGGGATCGCAGGTCGAACGAAAGTCTTCTGATCACTGTGCTGTGGCGGCGGCTATCCATGTTCAGCCGTCGGGGTTCCGCTCGGTCAACCAGGAGGCAGACAGTCCAGAATCCAAAGCGGGCGAGTAGGATCCAGGAGCGCGATCAGGAGATGATCCAGGAGGAGCCGGAGAAGGGGTGACTCCAGCCCTGTTCTCACTCCTCCCCAGCCTTCAGAGAATAAAGTTTCTAACGTGTACCTGCCTGAGCGTTTGTGCCTCGGCTTTCGGCACTTAGGGCGCGGGCACCACCAGGGTCGCGGGCTCTTTAAGGCTCCTTCCCTGAGGTTGGCCAGTCCCCTGGGCCCCCGACTTTAGTTCCTTGGGGGCGGGGCCACAGGGGTAGCCTAGCCAATGGGAAGGCAAATTAACACATGCGTTTTGGTGGAGGGGCGTGTCTCTCGGGTCGCCGGGCTCTAAGAGGCGTGGTACCGCCCTCCTGTTACCGGGGGTGGGGTTACGTGTGGGTGACGTGGCGGCTTCCAGTCTTTGGTCGGGTTTCGGCGGCTTCGGCTCCAGGGGGAGGAGGTGGTGACGATCTGAGAGACTGTAGCAGTGGTGGCAGCGGCAGGAGGCAGAAAGGAGGTAGGACTCGGTAGGGTCTGGCTGCCGTGCCTGCTCTGGGCCGCTCTTTCCAGGGACGGCGCCGGGCGGGGGGAAGGGAACCAGGGACAAGCGGGCAAGTCCTGCCGTCCCGGCTCGGAGTGAGCGAATACTTCACCGTCCAATCAGAAAAGTCCCTTTAAGAAGGACGTCGGCGTTAGCTAATCAGTGTTTGCAGACTTCCAGAAGGTGGGACTTGGGCGAGGGGAGGGTGGGACTTCCTGCTTCAAATAAACACCTAGAGATTTCCCCCCTCCGCCCACCGAAGTGTGTCCCTCTGAGGTGGTCCGTCCCGGTTTCTCCCTGAGGAGTCGGAGGAACCAGTGGATACGAGAGGGCCCAGTTAGGGTCTGGGGCAGTTGCACGGGACGGGCTGGAGCCTCAGGACCACAGGACCTGGCTCTGGCCCTGCCTCTACTTCAGGGCCCCGGCCCGCGCTGTGGCCGCCGGAACCAAGTTAGAAGAGTCTGAGGAGGGGGACGGCTTGGGCCGCAGAAGAAGCAGGATCTTGTCAGCTGCGGGTCGGTCCCAGGATCTACGGGTGGCTTCGGGCTCGAAACTCCGTGCCAAGTGCAGAGGGGCCCCGAAGAACTGCTGGTTGGGGCGGGGGATTGGTGGAGAAGGAGGCTGCCTGGGGAATGACACTCTCCCCTCCACCACAGTCCGAGGTTATGCGTCTCAATGATCCCGCGGAAACGCTACGGATCTAAGAACACGGATCAGGGTGTCTACCTGGGTCTCTCAAAGACACAGGTCCTGTCCCCTGCAACTGCTGGCAGTAGCAGCAGCGACATCGCCCCTCTGCCCCCCCCAGTGGCCCTGGTCCCTCCCCCTCCCGACACCATGTCCTGCCGGGATCGGACCCAGGAGTTCCTGTCAGCCTGCAAGTCCCTGCAGAGCCGTCAGGTAAGGACCTGGACTGGGAGAGGCAGAGTGAGTCTTACTCAAACCTGGGAGAGGAGGTGCTCCAGCACCGTTGATTGAAGTAATTCTTGGGGGAGCCTGATGGAGACCTGGTCCAGCTTGGGATGGTAGGATCTAACAAGCAAAGAAAAGGTGGGCTAGTTAATCTAGAGGCAAGGATCCAGACTTTGTTGATGTTTTGTTTAATCAGGAATCTAGGGTTGCTATTCTGGAACGAATATCTCAGGGCGAGAAATTACAGTATATTTGGTTTGGATAAGGAACAGGTTCTAGAAAGAGCCTTTATTTAGTTCAGAGACAAACGCTTTAAATTCTCATTCCAGTATAATTCTACCAAGTTTGCTTCATGACAACATGGAAGTTAAACTAGTTGGACCTCAGTTTTTATATCTGTAAAATGAAAGAAACTTTCCAAATAAAGTAATTTTAATAAAAGTCACTTGGGAGTGCTTTTGAAAAAAATTAGATTGCTTTGTTTTGTTCCAGACTTTCTGAATCCAAGTGGAAACTGAGTAATTGTGATTTTAAATATTTTTACTACTCAGTTGTTGTTTACAACTGCTCTTCTGTATCATCTCCAAGAGCTTCCTGTTTATCCTCTCAATTCCCCAGTTGGAGGAATGGAATGGTAATACTAGTTACCATTTATTTAGTGCTTATCATGGACCTGATATTTGGCTAAAATAATTTATAACCCTTATGTTTTTTAATCTTAGCAACAACAAAAGGGGATGTGTAGAATTGTCTCCATTTTACATACGAGGAAACAGATTCAGAGTGGTTTAAGTCACTTGTCCTCAGACCCCCTTCTAGTAAGTGGTGGCATCAGGTTTTGTGTGGCCTGGCCAGTAGAGGATGCCACTAGCACTAGAGGGCGAGTTTAGAGGATTCCTGGGGAATCGTGAAAGCTGGCAATGGGAAGGAAAAACTAAAGTTTTACTTTTTGACGTTGCCTTTCAGAATGGAATCCAGACAAACAAGCCGGCTCTGCGTGCCGTCCGGCAGCGCAGTGAATTTACCCTCATGGCCAAGTGAGTTGGGAGAAGTTATGTGGTGGGTTGGCCAGTGTCTGAGGAGAGGTAGTCTTGCCTCTGGTGACCTTGGTGGCGAGGACCGGAATTGGTGGTGCTGGTGCTAAGGTGGGCAAGGCCCTCTCCTTCCCTTCCACAGTGTTCTCACTTGTGCTCATTTGCAGGCGCATTGGGAAAGACCTCAGCAATACATTTGCCAAGCTGGAGAAGCTTACAATCTGTGAGTGTTTCTGGACCTTTCGGAGCTGGGGCAGTGAACGCCGGAGGGCTGAGGAACCATACTGTCTTGAGTCTGGTCTCTGACCTCACCTGTGGTGGCTTCTTGTTTGTCTCTGCAGTGGCAAAGCGCAAGTCCCTCTTTGATGATAAGGCAGTGGAAATTGAGGAGCTAACTTATATCATCAAACAGGTGAGTGACTAGCAGTCAGGTGAGTCCAGCATTCCAGTTGGATCACTTCCATCTTTTTCCCTGGCTCTAGAGTCTCAAAGCAAGTTTCTCAAGCCAACTCCAAACATCCTACTCCTCCGTTGTGTCAGTGGTCATCTACCACATACAAGGCACTATGCTGGACACTTGCCACAGAAGCATTATGAGGCAGATACCAGCCTTTAAGGGCTTATTGTCTGGAAGAGGCATCCAGTCCCATAAACTCACGCTTACAATGAATGGGCAGCTAGTGGCACAGAAAAGATTGTACAAAAAGATGAATGAGATTCTGGGTATGCTGGGAAATATTTTATCGAGGAGGTGAAAACTGAGCTGGTTTCGAGGCTTGTGGAGAGGTAACAGAAGAACATTTGAGACAGAGGAAACAGTGTGCAGAGGCATGTCTCATAAAAGGGAAAAGTTCAAGTCTTTGCTCAGATGTCATGTGCTCAGGGAGGCCTACCTTGCTGTTTAATACCCCAGCCCCCCCAACTCTGATCTCCCTTACCTTGCTCTATTTTCTTGTTTATAGCACTTGATACATTCTAACAGTCTCTATAAAGCTTGTGTCTGTTGTTTCCTCCCACTTACCTCATCCACATCAAGAAGAAAGAAAATAACAAATGGGAATGCCACAAGAGCAGGAATTTTTCTTTCTCTTTGTTCAGGGATGTATCCCAGACACCTGTGACAGTGTCTGGCGTGTAGTGCTCAATTGTTCAGTCGTGTCTGACTCCTTGCAACTACATGAACTGTAGCCCACCAGGCTCCTCTGTCCGTGGAATTCTTCAGGCAAGAATACTGGAGCGGGTTGCCATTTCCTACTCTAGGGCATCTTCCCGACCCAGGGATCGAACCCATGTCTCTTGTGTCTCCTGCATTGGCAGGCAGATTCTTTCCCACTGCACCACCTGAGAATCCCCCGGCATGTATTCGTTGCTCAGTACTTGTTGATCATGGCAGCAGATGAGGCTGAAAAGGTAGACTGGTAGCTGGTTGTGAAGATCATCGTGGGGCTTGCAAAGGACTGTAGAATCATTCTGAATGTGTGGGCTGCAAAGACGATTAGAACCTGGATTCCAGTTCTGTCTGCAAGACAATGGTATAGCAGTTCTAACAATATGATTTGTGTCTTTCCCAGAATAATGTAATAAGGATAACATGAGAAATTGAATGTCCATGGGAGGAGGAAAAGCACCCTGGAGCATGAGTGGGCAGAGAGGTGAAGGTAGAGGCTTGTGCAGTTGTCCGGTATGAAGATGATTATGGCAGAGGCCAAAGGGCAGACACATTGAAGAGATGCTATGCTGAATGGGAGAGGGTTCCATTAACTATTGGGGTGTTATTACTCTTTTTTAAATATTTATGTGTTTGGCTGCATTGGATTTTAGTTATGACACGTGGAACCATCACTGCATCATGGGGGATCTTTCCTCGCAGTGCACTGATTCTCTAGTTATGGTGTGTGTGCTCAGTAGTTGCGGCATTTTGGCTTAGTTGCTTCAGACCATTTGGGATCTTTGTTTGTTAACCAAGGATTGAACCCAAGTCCCCTGTTTTGCAAGGCAGATTCTTAACCACTGGACCACCAGGGAAGTCCCTGTTGGAGCATTATTGCATAGGTAACCACTGACTGGATTGAGACAGACTTCAAATCCCAGGCTCACCACTTATGATGTTGGTAAGCTACATTATCCTGGAAAAGGAAGGGGAAAGATCCCCTAGAGAAGGAAATGGCAATCCACTCCAGTATTCTTGCCTGGGAAGTCACATGGATGGGGGAGCCTGGAGGCTACACCCCTTTTAAAGAAAAAGGTGGTGATAACAGTACACACCTTGCAGAGTTGTTATGAGGCTTCATTGGTTTGTTTTTTCAATCCCTCACATTACTGAGTGACTTTTGGCTGCCTGGTTCTGGGGATTCAACAACAAAGAAGACCCATGTGGTCCCTGTCTTTGGGAACTTCTTTCCAAGTGGGTGAACCAAACAGTGCATGCTGCTGCTGCTGCTAAGTTGCTTCAGTCGTGTCTGACTCTGTGTGACCCCATAGATGGCAGCCCACCAGACTCCCCCCACCCCTGGGATTCTCCAGGTAAGAACACTGGAGTGGGTTGCCATTTCCTTCTCCAATGCATGAAAGTGAAAAGTGAAAGTGAAGTTGCTCAGTCGTGTCTGACTCTTAGCGACCCCATGGACTGTAGCCTGCTAGGCTCCTCCGTCCATGGGATTTTCCAGGCAAGAGTACTCTAGTGGGTTGCCATTGCCTTCTCCAAAACAGTGTATAAGTAAACAGCAAGTACAATTTCAGATGGTGGGACATCCTATTAAATAAGGAGAGTGAGCGCCTCAGGGTAGGGGCCACTTTATATTGGGTGATCTGGGATGGCCTAGCTGAGGAAGGGACATGGAGACCTGAATGGTAAGGAAAAAATTGGTCATCCAAAGATTGGAAGGGGCACATTCTAGAAAGTGGGAGTGGCAAAGGGAGAGGCCCTGAGGCCTGAGTGACTTTGATACATTTGACACATGTGGAAGAGGCCAGTGTGGCTGCAGCATGGCCAGTGAGAAGGCGGCTGGTGGGGTAAGGCCAGAGGAGTGGGCAGACCAAGCTATGTAAGCTAGGTGAGGAATGTGGATTCTTTTCTAGATTTAGTGGGAAGCTCTTAGAAGATTTTAAGAGTGGGGATCACATACATGCCCTGTTTTGGGTTTGGAGGGTCACTCTGGTTGTTGTGTAGACAACGGCTTGTTGGGGGCAGACTCTGAAAGGAACGTCACTTAGGAGGCTCTGGGCAATTTTCGAGAGAGAAGACAGTTTGGACTAGTGTGGCTTTGTTAGAGAAGAAAATGGGTGGACATATTCAGAGTGTGTGTTGGAATCAGCTGGGTTCTTTGTGGGTTCCTTGTAGATTAAGGGAAGGGAGGCATTGAGGATGACTTGCTAAGTTTTTCGTCTGAGCAGCTGGTGAATGGTGATGCCATTTTCCAAAATGGCACAGAGGAAGGCAGAATAGCTTTTCAGGGCAGGTGGGGTATAAAGAGTTGCTTTCTATGTTAAGTTGAAGAGAAAGTCATAAGCTGCTTAGCAAGTTGTGTGCTGCATGGTAATCAGACCCAGGGCTGCTGTTCTGTTCACAAAGTCTAAATACACAGTAAATGCTTGGTGAACGTTGTCATTGTGCTGTGGCATATAGGTTGGGTTAAGGAGTTGTCAGCATGTGACTTAGAAGCTTTTAGCTTGGGCACCTACGTGGGGAGTAGTGGCATTTTCTGAGCTCCTGGGGGAGGAGATTTTATGGGGGAAAACCTGGAATACAGTTTCGGATACATGGCTGTCAGCAGCAGAAATTGTCCAGGGGACTCGAGAATCCTTGGGGCTGGGGTACTAATTCAGGGGACTGTTGGAGGGATTCTAGAAGTTGCCTGATCTAGTATTTTTTAGCCTATTTTTTGAACTATTTGTGACCCCTTTCCCCTCCCCCTCCTCTTTCTCCTCTGGTCCTGCCCTGGACCTAGCTGCTCTGGGGCAAGCTTTCTCTGCCACTCCCGGTCAGTCCTTCATCTCCCTTGTCTTATGAGGCCCTTAGCAGGTAGGATTAGGAAAGCAGAGGATCCACTGGCCTCGTGTAGAAAGGCTGGCTGTGCTACTAACTCATGTATAAAGTTCGACAAGTCACACCTTTCACTCTTTTGGAACAGTAATTTAAAATATATTAATTAAAATAATTTAAAATATAAATTTAAAATGTGTGTGTGTGTGTGTGTGTGTGTGTGTGTGTGTAAGTTGCTTAGTCGTGTCCGACTTTTTGCAACCCTATGGACTGTATAAGTCTACCAGGCTCCTCTGTCCATGGAATTCTCCAGGCAAAAATACCGGCGTGGTAGCTAGTCCCTTCTCCAGGAGATGTTCCTGACCCAGGGATCAAACCTTGGTCTCTTGCATCCCTACCATCTAAGCCACCAGGGAAGCCCATATATATATATATATTTGACTGCACCGGGTCTTAATTGCAGCATGTAAATTCATTGCAGTTCAAGATTCATTCTTCGATCTTCATTGCAGCACACGGGATCTTTAGTTGTGCTGTGTGGGATCTAGTTCCCTGACCATGGATCGAACCCAGGCCCCCTGCACTGGGAGTGCAGAGTCTTAGCCACTGGACCCTCAGGGGAGTCCCTGCAGTAGTAATTTTTTAAAAGGAATTGTGTATATAAAAACCATTTCATTGATGTTTCTAGGACTCCTCCCATCTCCTGAGTACAGCACAGATGCTTGCTGGTCAGCATGCTCTGGATCTGAGATTCTGGCCTTTTAAGGGGTTCTGTGGTCATGAGCAGGGCCTCACAGTAGTGGGTAGGGCAGTAGGGTGAAGGGAGTAAACAACTCAGTTCTTTACAAACGGACAAGGCCATATTTGACCTCTTTCTGGCTCTACTCTGCAGGGACTGAGCCAGAGCAACCTCCAGAGGTTGGACTGTACCAGCAGGCCCTTCTGGTCTGACTGTCTGAGACAGCGTCACCCCTGCTAGTATGTTCATCCTGCCACCCCTGCCAGAGATGTCCATGTGGGAGAGATACTGGCTGAGGAGCCCTGGTTGATACTCAGTTTTTCTGTTGGCTCTTTCACCAGGACATCAATAGCCTCAACAAACAAATCGCCCAGCTTCAGGACTTCGTGAGGGCCAAGGGCAGCCAGAGCGGCCGGCACCTGCAAACCCATTCCAACACCATCGTGGTCTCCCTGCAGGTGGGACCAGGGAGAGGGGGCGGCAGAAGGGAGGAGGCGTTGTCTTCTCTGGCTGACCCTCTCTCCTCCTCTTCCAGTCGAAACTGGCCTCCATGTCCAACGACTTCAAGTCAGTTTTAGAAGTGAGGACAGAGGTGAGAAGAAGCTGTGTAGGAGGGGATAGGAATCTGGGCCTGAGGGCCCCAGAGGGCAGTGGGAAGGGCAAGGGCAACAGGGTCACAGGCACCAGGGGGGTCTAATGTGCCCGCTTTCCAGAGGCCTCAGGACCTTTGCATTTCTTCCCCAAACCCAGAACCTGAAGCAGCAGAGGAGCCGGCGGGAGCAGTTCTCCCGGGCGCCTGTATCAGCCCTGCCCCTTGCACCCAACCATCTGGGTAAGTTACAGGCGATTCAGGGAGCCCTGAGGGGTAAGGCATAGTGACTCTGGGTCTGAGGGTATCTTCCTAAGGCAGGGGTTGCGTAGGAGAGCGGAGGGTCAAGGAAGTTGCTAGACTTTCTCAGAGGTCACTCCTGATGCCTAGGATCTATGATCCGCACCTAGTCTCCAGCATTCTCCCTGTTGAGGGTGAATCCAATCATGTTCAAAAGAATGAGTTTTCTAGTATTTTTGCTCCACTTAGTCATTATATTTACAGTCTGTCAATTCATTCTCAAAACCACCCTTTGAGAAAGCAACTATCATTATCCCCCATTTTACAGGTGAGGAAACTGAGGCTCAGAGAGGTTAAATGACTTGTCCAGGGTCACAAGGCTAGTAAGTGTCAGAGCTGGGATTCAAATCCAGAGCATATGGGCTTTGAACCTTTTAACTGCTCAGAAGTGCCATGTCCTCTCTCTTCCCCCCAGGGGGCGGTGCTGTGGTTTTGGGGGCGGAGTCCCGAGCCTCTGGAGATGTGGCCATTGACATGATGGACTCTAGGACCAGCCAGCAGCTGCAGCTCATTGACGAGCAGGTACCCACGCTCTGAGGTGGGGAGGAGTTGCTCCCCTGTTTTCCTGTGTGGTCACAAGCAAGTGTTTGGAATGTGCCATGGGTGGAATGGCAAACGAAAGTCCCAAAGAGGCAGGACCCACCCTCAGAAGTTTATGTACGCTCTCTCTCCTCTGAAGGATTCTTACATCCAGAGCCGGGCAGACACCATGCAGAACATTGAGTCTACTATTGTCGAGCTGGGCTCCATCTTCCAGCAGTTGGCACACATGGTTAAGGAACAGGAAGAAACCATTCAGAGGTGAGACGCTTTCTCTCTTTAACCTCAAAACCAGGAGTCTTGTCTTCCCTGTGGATTGGCATCCTAAAGGTCCCCAGGGACAGCTTAATGCCCTTTGGAAGAGAAGAGTGAATCCTGTCCACACATAAGGTCCAGTTCACCTGTCTCCATCCATACCACAAGTATTAATTGAGCACCCGTTCCATGTCAGGCACTGTCATAGGTGCTGGGGATACGGTGATGAGTAGAACAGTTAAGTCTGTTCTGTGGAACTTACTTTGTAGTATGGAATTCGACAGAGTGAGTAAGGCCAACTGTTTAAAAAGAATTGAGAAGAAATTTTCAGGTGGTGATAAGGGCTAATACTGAAAACTAGGATGCAGTGTTGAGAAAGTGATGGAGGAGGAATATCAGATTGGGTGGCAGGGCAGGCTGCTCTGAAGGCTTTGTTAATGAAGCAGAGACGTGAATGACAAGAGGGATCCAAACACGCAAAGGAAAGGGTGAGAGTTGTCTGGGCCATGCGGACAGCCAGAACAGAGGCCATATGATGGGACAGTCTTACTTTATTAAAGAATCAAGAAGGCCAGTGCAGCTGGAAGGCAGTGAACAGGAAGAGAGAAGTGCGGGATGAGACTGGAGGGAGGTAGGCGGAGCCAACCCACAGGAAGGCCTCTCTACTCCCCTGGTGCCCTTCCTACTGCACAAGGCACTTTACCTACTCCTGTTCTTTGGCACTTGGTATTCAGTCAGTCACAGAGATACAGCTGAAGACAAAAGAGACAAAGATCCCTGCCCTTGTGGAACGTACATCATGGTAGGCCAGATAATTTAGAATATACGTAATAAGTAAATGGTCCAGTACCTATTTTTTACCAGTGATAATCCATAAATAAAAGTAGAGTAGGGTAAACTAATCAGGAGTTCTGGGTTTGGAGGAGCAAGTTGTAATTTTAAATAGGATGGCTGTGGTAGGCCCTATTAAGAAGATGACATCCTTCCAAGACTGGGGGAAGGTGAGGGAATTTGCTGTGTGGATATATGGAGAAGAGTACCAGGCAGAGGGAAGAACCTGTGCAAAGGCCTTCAGGCAAGAATATGTCTGTTGAGTTAAAGGATAGCAAAGAAGCCACCGCATCTGGGGGCGAGCGAGAAGAAGAGTAGTACCAGGTGAGGTTAGAGGGGAGACGGGAGACCAGATCAGGCGGGGCCTTTTAAAGCCAACGTGAAAAGTGAAAGTGCAAGTCGCTCAGTCATGTCTGACTCTCTGCGACCCCATGAGCTATACAGTCCATGGAATTCTCCAGGCCAGAATACTGGAGTGGGTAGCCTTTCCCTTCTCCAGGGGATCTTCCCAACCCAGGGATCGAACCCAGGTCTCCCTCATTGCAGGTGAATTCTTTACCAGCTGAACCACAGGGAAGCCCAAATGGGGAGCCATTGCAGGCTATTGATTGATTGGACTGATTGGCCATGCTAGGTTTTTGGTTTTTTTTATGCTAGGTTTTCATTGCTGCAAGCAGGCTTTCTGTAGTTGCGGCAAGCAGGCAGCTTCCCTCTGTGTTCTGGAGCAGTGGCCGTAGGGCATGCAGGCTCAGTAGTTCTGGCACATGGGCTCAGTTGCCCTGTGGTCTGTGGCATCTTCCCAGACTAGGGATCGAACCTGTGTCCACTGCCTTGGCAGGTGGATTGGACCACCAGGGAAGTCCCATTGTAGGGTTTTAGTGGAAGGTTATACTATCTGGCATCTATTTTATTTTTATTTATTTATGTTTTGGGTTGCACTGCACAACTTGTGGGATCTTAGTTCCTCGACCAGGGCCACCACATGGAAGTGCCAAGTCCTAACTTCTGGACTTGCAGGGGGTTGCCTCCCCTGGGAAGTCCCTCCAACTTCTATTTTAAAAGGGTCATTTAGTTGCCATAGTCAGAACAGATTGTAAAGGCCTAGAATGCAAGCAGAGAGATGAGTTCAGAGGCCTTTGCAATAATCCAGGCAGGAGGCAGTGGTAGTTGGGGCCGAGGTTGTATGAGTAGTAGTTGCATCCTGGGTATATTTTGGAGATAGAACCAACAGGATCAGTTACCTGATGAACTGAATGCAAGGTGTGAGAGAAGACGAGGCGTTTATGATACCTCCAGGCTTTTGATGTGAGCGATCGAAGGGATTCATGTCCACCTGAAATAGACAGAGCTAGTTACTCAAGATAGAGCAGATTTGGGGCAAAATAAGTTGTGTTGGACGTGTTGTCCAACACGAAGTGAACAGCTGTCAGACATCTAAGGGAAATAGTGAACAGGATGATAGATGTGTAAGGAGTTAAAAAGACAGGTATGGGCCCCAAATGGGCAGAATTGAACTTTGAAACTAGGCCAGGGGAGTTCTAAGAAAGAGGAGGATCAAGCACTGAGTCCCAAAGGCTATTTCTGGAATCAAGTCTCAGTCCCAGGAGAGGGGTGCTGAGCAGGAGCACAGCGTGTGAGATAGGAAGAAAAATAAATGAAGATGATGTCCCAGGAGTCAGGAGAAGAAAGTAAGTCAGGGGAAGAATGATCAGCTGTGACAGATTCTGCTTTGAGACCAAGCAAGATGAGAGCTGAGCATTTAATTAGCCTGTTTAGTTCATTAATATTTAGTGTAATATTTGCTAAGGTTGGATTTAGGGCTACCATTTTACTGTTTCTTTTGTTTTTCTCTTCTCCTTTTTTTTTTGTTCCTTCTTTCCTGTCTTGAACAGTTGCAAAAAAAATTTTTTTTAAATTCCATATAAATTTGTTATTTTAGCTATATGTAATTGGTGTTTTTTTTTTTTTAGTGATTGCTATAGGGATTATAACATGCCTCATTAACTCCTCCCAGTCTGCTTCATACAAAATGTGAGAACTTTTCAACTCCTCTCCTTCATCTTTTATGCTCTAGTTGTCACATTTGTTGTATTTACATAACTTTATAAATCCCACAATACCATAGTATAATTTTTATCTTAAAGAAATTAGAGGAAAAAGTAGTCTTTTGTGTTACTCATATATTTACTCTTTGCATTGCTCTTCATTTCTTCCTGAATATCCAGTTTCCATCTGGCATCACTTCCCTTAAACCTGGAGAATTTTCTTTACTACCTTTTTTTAAAATTTATTTTTATTTTTGGTTGTGCTGGGTCTTTGTTGCTGCGTGTAGACTTTCTCTGATTGCATTGAATGGGAGCTACTCTCTAGTTGTGGTGCTCAGGTTCTTGTTGCAGAGCCTGGGGCTCTAGGGTGCTTGTGCTCAGTAGTTGGGGCTTGCAGGCTTTAGAGCCTGTGGGCTCAGTAGTTGCAAGCACAGGCTTAGTTGCCCCAAGGCATGGAGAATCTTCCTGGACCAGGGATCGAACCTGTGTTCCCTATATAAGCAGGCAGTATGGATTCTTAACCCCTAGACCACTGAAGAAGTCCTCTTTAGTACTTTTTATAGTGCAGATCTACTAATGAAAAATTCTTTTATCTAAAATTTCATTATTTCACCCACATTTTTGAAGAATAGTTTCTCTGCTTAAAGTGCTTTAAATATATCATTCTACTGTCTTTTGGCCTCCCATTCTTAATGAGAAGTCAGTAGTAATTCTAACTTTTGTATGTAATCCCTGGCTGCTTCTGCTTTTCCATTTTTTTTTTTTTTCTTTTCTGTGGTTTTCAGCAGTTGATCACTTATGTACCTAGATGTGGTTTCCTTTGAATTTATGCTGCTTGGGATTCTCTGAGCTTCCTGAATCTGTAAATTTATGTCTTTCAAAAAGTTTAGGAAATATTTCACCATTATTTCTTTCAAAATTTTTTCTGCCTCTTTCTCTGTCTTCTTCCAGGAATATATATGTATACATATGTATAATCAACTGTAGGAATTTCTTGGTTGTTTCAGTGGTTAGAACTCTGTGCTTTCACTGTTGAAGGCCTGGGTTTGATCCCTGGTGGAAGAACTAAAATCCCACAAGCAGTGCGAAGTGGCTCCCCCAAAAAATCTACTGTAACTATATATTTACTTTGTTGAGATATATGTACATATATATATCTCAAAAGTTGCATCTTATTAAGATGCATTTAATGTCAGCTGTCCCTACATTATGGGAACAAATTTGATTATTTGATTAAGGTGGTAATAAATTATCTGTTTTTAAGACGATATTTCTTCTTTGCAGTCAGCAAATGATTTGTTGGATATCCTGTTCCCCAAAATGCTTTAACCTGTTTTTAGGAGCCAGTTATGATGCTTATCTGGTCTGAATCAATTTATCCAATTCAGGTGCATTTTTTTTCTTTAAACAAAAGCCTTTCTTTATTAACTGCATGAGCTGAAGTTCATCTTAATCAGGCTGGATAAAACCTTAATTATTTTCCTGTATTTTCAGAGTAAGTAGTTTGTGGAGCAGGTGCCAATGTAGAAACTAAGGTTTTAATTCTTCCTTGTTTTTGAGTATCATTATGGACTTAATTAAGGTTTTTATTTATGTTTTGTGTTACAATTAGTTAGGATAATGATTATTTTCAGTGTTCAGATTGTTCCCAGTTTGTCCAGTGAAAGACAAGAGGTTTCTGTTTTGCTTTTTTTTTTTAAAGAATGGGAGAAAATAAATGTATGTTTGTATTGTATTGGGAATGATCCAACAGAGAAATAAAAATTGATATTATAACAGGAAGGGGGAAGAATTCTTAGTTTATGTCCTGGAGCAGGTGAGAGGAAGTGGGAGCCAGTGCATCAGTAGAAGACTTGAATTTAAGATGAGCTAATGATAGCTGGGTGGAGAAGGCAATGGCACCCCACTCCAGTACTCTTGCCTGGAAAATCCCATGGACAGAGGAGCCTGGTAGGCTGCAGTCCATGGGGTTGCTAAGAGTCGGACATGACTGAGCGACTTCACTTTCACTTTTCACTTTCATGCATTGGAGAAGGAAATGGCAATCCACTCCAGTGTTCTTGCCTGGAGAATCCCAGGGACGGGGAGCCTGGTCGGCTGCCATCTATGGGGTCACACAGAGTCGGACAT